TGGCCAGGGATAATTGTGTGCTAAAGCAAGTACCAGAACAAGATACTGGAAGTACCATTTTGTATTTCCAGCTGGGACAACAGACAGCAGTTCAGCAGGGAGGTGCACAGGTAGGGAAGGGGAGGATGCAACCACTGCCAAAACATTGGACCATGCCACCATGGGGCAGCTCTACCATCCCACCTTCCCCACAGCAGGCACCGATGAGGAGGAAAAGGTTTGGAGCATTTAGGTACAAAGTCAGCCCTACCCTCAAATTAGAAATAATGCAAGCCACGTGATATGTCAAAACAGCTGACTGAAATCAGCTGAACTGGGATAACAACAGGGTATCAGAGATTGTCTTAAAAGATGATTTTATAAAGCATGTAGAATAACAGAAGGTTTGGTGAGGTTGGCTTTGCATGGTTGTGGAAGAACAATCAACCTAGCAGAATCTGAGATGTTGAAGTAAGAAACTCCTATGAATGAATGTGCTGGAGAGCAAGTAGAAAAACCAACAGTTAGATAGATATAAGCTTGTTTGCTTGTCATGATACAGGAAAGAAGGGATTCCTGAAGACAACAGAATTTGCCTTGGTAGAGTTACCATGTGCCAGTTCACAATATCTCAACTCTTTGGAGCTGGAAGTAAAACTGAAATTTGACCTTGACAATACAACTGTTGAGGGACACTAACCAAATTAATTGACAGGTTTGCCATGATAGTAAACCCAAACAAGTCCAGGATTTGAATACATCCAAAAGAACTTCTCAAAGCCAGAAAATGTGAGCACCACTTCTTGGCAACTGATAAGGAGGTCACATCCAGACTTCAAAAAGCTAAGGCATAGTTTTAGTGCTAGTAAATTTTCTTTGTTAAAAACACAGCATATAAAATGCCCCCCATACATTTCCTCAGGTAGATGTTTAACTGAATTCCTGTTAGACTACAAGTAGGTCCTTGATGAGCATGAAAGCATCAAGTTTGCCACAGGACTCTAACATTTGGAAGTAGTGTCACAGATGCTTCTAAGGCTCCAGAAATTATTATAAAATTACAAAATTACTGGATGGAGCTTTTACTGGTGCACAGATTTTCAGTAATTTGCATGAGAAGAAAACACAAGAAGCTGCAAGAGGATGTGCTCCGAGTCATGTATAATTTGAGTGTGACCCACTTCTGTAATAGAATTAAACAGTCTCAAGTAAGATGAATAAAATGAACTGATCAGTGAAATTTAGAAGCACAATTCCAAATGGAGAAACTCTCAAAAGGAGAAACTCTCCCACCTTGCAGGGTAAAATGATACTGACAATACTGAAATGGAACTACAAGAGATAGTGCAATTGTGGGTACAGAAGGCAATGCAACAACACCATCATGCACAATGAGATAAAAAATAGTAAACATAATTTGCAGTATCCATCTGGCTCCGTACAAGATGAGGGAGCGAAAAAAATCCTACTGTGGTCAGGCAAATGCTGTCATTCAAGATAAGGGATCCAAGTATAAATTCTACAATAAATTCAGAAAATTATGCAAAAAAAAAACCCCTTTCAAAGCCATAAGAGACCTGTGATTGCTGTTGATACAGATACATTTGGACTAAACAGAAAAGATGAATTATTAATACTTTTGACTTGTTACAAAACATGCTGAATAACACTGTAAAACACACTCTAAATCACAGTTTACATGTCCTGGATTCCAGATGAACCAATACCAGATAATGGCCTGCATTTCACAAGTGACTTGTTTCAGCAATTTGCTTGAGAAATCAGATCAACCAGACTACAGCAAGTCCTTAGGAGGCACTGCCACATGAGCAAGCAAGAAAACTGTTTGGTAAATATAATAAAGAACCAGAGGTCCAAGCAAACCACGTCTGGCCTTGTTAGATTATTATAGCACACTTCTTAGTGCTCTGTTGAGATTTCCTGTTCAAAGAATTATGGGCAATAAGGGACAAACCCCATAGATGAGTTAAGACAGCAACATTTAAGCATTATAAAAGAGCTATTTGTCTATAACACAAACAGAGGGAATACTACAAACACAGCCAAGACAAGTGGCATTGCAAATGGAAGGCAAAGTTAGATTTCAAGGTGATTTTATAGCTACCAATTGAACACAGTCTCCTCTCAGCTGCAATGAAGTCAGATGACATAAACCTTCCAAATCATTTTTCTCATTATTGGACTAGAGAAAAAGTTAAGTAAAACTGAGAGGCACTCTGGCTCCATGCATTTTAAGGACCAGTACAATACTATGTTGACAGAATTTATGTCATGACAGAAGAACCAGCTTTGTATTCAAACACCATCCATCAATAAAATAGTTTAAGTTCAAAGATTCATTGACTGTAAGAGGAATGACTGTGTAACATATGACAGCCTCAGAACATTGATAGATTAGATTGGTCTAGTTGTGTATTTTATTAACTGACTCCTTCAGTCTGTAGATGTTACTTTACACACATTTGCTGTTAAAAGAAATCAGTATAGCAGTTGCTACTGACTTGTGCAAAACAAGAAAGAGAGTAACCTTTGGGTAACGCTGATCCACGTGTGCGCTGAAGCAGAGAACAATTTTCATCTCCTCCCAAAACATCTTTATTTCAAATATTACACATCTTGACAGAATTTGGCAGATAAAATAATCTGGTGCCTCTCATTTCAATTAGTTTCAGATTCCAACTGCTGGATCTTGTTATTATTTTGTCTGTGCAAAGAGCATTCTACTATCAGATGGCTTCTCACTGCATAGGTACTTACACAATGTGTTCAAGTAATTTATAAACCTTCTGTTAAACAGTTACAAGCAATTGGCTTTTTGTGGCATGCTTTTTCTTGTTTTTCAAACCTTGACTCATTCTTGTAGCTCTTCTGCAAACCTCTCCCAATCTTTCCACATCCTTCTTTAGCATTGACACCAGATTAGAATGTCCAGAAACAGTTTTGCTTTGCCCAGAGATAACCCCACCTCATGCTTTCATCGCATATTCCCATAAAAACCAACACATTTAGCAGCTGCACTGCACTGAGAGCTCCTGTGCAGCTGGATGATCCCAGCAACCACGATCTGAGAGACCTTTTCAGAGCTGCTGCTTTCTGAGGGGGCCTCTTGTTCTGCGAGGATGACTGACACCTTTTGTTCCCAGCTGCATGACCTTGGACGTGTCTCCACTGAAATGTGTATTGTTTGAGCACACCAAAAGATGGCTTTGTAAGCTATGAGTGACCCCTCCCATGACATATGGTTACACTGAATCTCCTTTCACCTGAAAACTTTAACAGTCATCTTTCAAATCACTGCCAAATAACTGAGCCAAAAAGAAATCCCTGCAGCTGCACTAGAAACCACCCCATATATAATAATTTCCAATTAGCAAACAAGACATAGCTAGTTTCTAACAGATTTTTCTGTATTTATTTTGTATTCTCTTAATGTTTTAATCTGAATGTCGTGCTGTAGCAAGTTAAATATCACACAGATATCTAAGCACAGTAAAACAAAATAACCCCCCATGCAAACTAATTAAATGCAAATTAATTATATAAGAAATATCAAGTTAATTCAGCAGGCCCATTGCCCACAACACTTTGACACCCACAACAAACCATTTACAGAATCCCCACAAAGACCAGTGTGTGCTTGCACAAGGTGCAAGTGACTTCAAATGTGTTTGTGGGCACGGAGAGAGCTGATGTCTAATGTCACCAGTACAACAACACTGGAACATAAATACTTGTTACTTGAGCACTTAACTCCTCTTCTGGGACTGCAGAAGCTTTTCTGTATGTCATACACTTATCTATATCACACCACAGTACAGATAAACAGATGATAAAATGCACTGAAGTGATGATCTGCCTGGAGGGCAAAAGCCCAGCTAAACAAAAACCACCAAAGAAAATAAGAGAGAACAGAAGGAGTGGTGTTCACTTTGAGACATTCACCCACCACTGTTTATGGGACTTGACTCTCACACCCTTCATTTCAAGTAACTGTGTGCCTTGAAATTTCTGCTAACAGAAAGCTGGATAGCATCTCTAGTAAGGAAGGCTGGAACATGACATGGCAAATGTTGGATGACCTTGAGGGCTGGTGTAGTAGAAATGGGAAAAGCTCAAAAGCACAGAGTGCCAGGACATGTACTTGGGGAGTAATAAACAGAACCTCTGCTGTAAATTGTGATAGAACCAGTAGGAAATCACAAAGGAGGAGAAAGGCCTGGATGCATCATCCAACTGAAGGATGACTGTGGGTCTCCAGTGTGATGCAGCATGAAAAAAGCAAATACAACCACAAAATACTTCAGGCAAGGAATTTCCATCAGAGAAAGGGAACCATCGCCCCACTTATACAAGGCATTGATCAGACCTTGTTAGGGAATGGTCCTTCTCATCCATATGTGAGAAAGGCAAGTACAAACAAGAACAGGTTGCAGAAAGGGCTGCTAGATTGATAACAGGTCTTACACAGAGAAGTCTACATGAAAGCATATGTAGAGTGGGAAAAAGAACACAGAGGATACCATTGCTCTTCATATGTACATCAGAGAAAGAGAGACACATAAACTAAAGGTTACATCTGTCTCAAGAACAATTGATAAGTACATGTTACAACTTGCAGCACAGTTTCTAGTTATCAAAGTGTCCCACTGTGGGACAGTGGTGGGAATAATATCTGCATAATCTTCAGATTTTTTTACTGAGCTTATTAAGTTTAAGGGTGACAGTGTTACTTGCAACCACAGAGTATTAGATTAAACAACTCAGAGGGCCCTTTCTAGTCCTGTGAGTTACAGACACTGTTTTGTGATAGAAGTAACATGTAGCTACGGTTGAGTGATCCTTGTTGTACCCCAGAAGGCACTTGGAATGAAAACAAGTCCAGATCACTCAAAAAACCCTGAAAACATGTTTTCAGTGACTTGGAAAAGAAAGGACATGTGGAAAGAGGGAACACGAAAACAAGAAGACAAATAAATTTCTTCAAACACCACCATTCTTACCTCCCATGAGGAAGAGAAGCCCCGCCACATACTGCATAAGGCCTCGATCCCAACAGCACCCCAGCACCCCGATAATCCATCCAAAGAGGATGATGGCCACAGCCATGCCCATGAAGCCAGCTGTCATCCTGCGCAGATCTGCAGTGGGGAAGACAGAAAATCAATGTGAGTGTGGACACTGATAAATCAGCATGATGATGGGTTCATAACAGTCTTAATCCAAAATGCTACTGATCCTGCAGGGTTACCAGTGTGTGTTGGCATGGGATGATTTGAGTAAGGATGATTCAGATAGGGGACAAGCTGTAAATTAAGATACTAACTTGGGCTGAGGAGGGAGAGCAGGTGACCATTTTACCACACAATAAGGCTCAGCGCAGATGCACTCAAGTGACTTGTGACAACTTGCTCAGGAGTTAGAAGTTGTAAAATGGCCTCAGTGCAACGTTGTATCTAATAGCTGTAGTCTCTGGGTACTAGCACAACATCTGTTTACATCCTGCCTTCTCATCTCTGCCCATTACTCCACTGCATTCAGTGGATGCACCTGCTCAAACTGATCGGCAAAGCGGTTTCTGTGCTTCGTGCCGGGCAGACGTGACAGAGGATTCACCTCGATTCTGACCCGCTGTGTGATCTTGGGCAAGTCACTGAGCCCCTCCGGGCTGCAGCTTCCCACATGTGAGTTGGGCCATAGTGCCTTGGTGTCCAGCAGTGGGATGAGTGAAACCTGGGACATTCAGAACAGGGAGGCACACGGGTATTCTGGTGTCACACCTAATAAATGCGCTGTAGATGCACGGCTGGGACACAGGACACTTCATTGCCCTCTCTTGTATCCAGATGGTGACCTTGCTGGATGGTTTTTGGTGAGGACATTTTCTGAGTGCTCCAGGGAGCACTAAGAGTAAGAGGAGGGCAGGGGGTTGGAGTGAAACATTTTGTGCTTTTCAGGTGTGGACTGAGTACCACTTCTGATATGGGTGCAAGGGATTGACATGCATTTGTTTCATAAATAAAGGAAAAGGACCCCCAAGACCTAATGTAAGGAATCCTTAAATTAAGGCCTGGCTATGTTGCATATTTGCCTTCTGCAAAAATGATGGGACTGCTGGGATCCCTCTCCCTGCATGTGCTGGGAAAAAAAATAAAATTCTTCACAGTTGGTTTTGATTTGAAATCTGGGCAGTGAGACCACCTGGCAACCGAAAGAGCAAGGACTATGTGAGCTAAAGAGCATTTTCACACCCTCAAATAATGAAACAGATGGGGTTATCTTCACTAACATTTGATTGTTCCCTGTCCCCCCTCATGCACGCATAAAAAGTTTAAGCACTGATATGTCAAGAGTATATGTACGGGGAAAATTCCAGCCAAGTCAGCTCTCCAAACATTTGTTTCCTTCTTGAAACTTTTTTTTTTATAGCAATGATTTTACTTTTATTTTTTTTCAAGGAACAGAATGCTTATGACAGAGAAGGAAGATTTGAAAACTGTGAATCATCCTCCAATCTCTATGGCAGCTTTTCTCCTTGGCTGGCCTTGGACTATTTCTCAATTTCTGTAATTTTTTATGTTCTTCCCACAGTGGATAAAAGGACCACCAACACCAGCAGTGCAGATTCAATGAAATTTCTGAATAGTGATAAAATCCCGCCATCAGAGATTTATGTACCCAAAATGCTAAGCATCCACAAGGTCTATAGGTATGTTGGGACAGAATGATTTGATTTAATGGAAGGCAGTTCACTCAGATTCATGTTCATTATAGCCTTTCTTATGCAAGATCAAGTTGCAGAATGTAACCCCTCCCTTGAAACTATAACTGGTTCCTGTGGACTGTCACTGATTTTTCAAGGAGTCTCTCTGACAACAGATAACCAGGTCTTCAGGCCACCAGTGATCAGGCCCTTTTAACAAGATACACATCTTAAAAGTCGTACTTTTTTCTTAGGTTTTGTGACTGTCCCACCACATTTGAGTATGTTCAAGGAGTTTTAGTGTAGAAAAAAGAAAAAAAAAGCATTTCCTGCAGCAACTTGTACTTCCCATAGGCAATGCTAGCCTCTGCTCCTTGGGAATTTGAGTGCTTTCTAAAACAAGCAGCAATGTTGGTAAGCATGTTTGACGGCCGAATGTCTCCCTGCTTTTTCAGCCCATGAAGGCTCAATTCGAAAGATGAATGAAAACATAAAATGTTTACTGTTTCCTATGTCATCTTCAATAACAGCACAACATGTCTCTCGGAGGTGCTGCACAGCTGTCTGTGTCAGCCCTACAAACTCCTTCCATTATAACTTGTGACTGCTGACTCTGGGTAACAACAGCACTTGTTCTTCCTAATGGAAACATACCCTAACAACCTGCTTTTAATGAGCTGAATTTAAATAGCCTTATTCAGCTGCAAGATGTCTATAACTCCTCGACCTACCCCAACACCTAGCTGATTGAGCCAGTTTTCATAGGTCCCAGAGTGGATCACAAGCATTCCCACATCCTGTACACCAAACTAAGGAATGTTTTTTTATCCCACTAAAACCAGTGTGAGTTTTGCCACTGAACAGAAGAGTTAAAGGACCAGGACCAAGATTTCTAGGCTGAATTTTAATGTTTGTTTCACTTGACCTCTCCTCCTGATGGAGCCTGAAATTCCCTTTCTAACAACACAGCAAAATTCATCATCTTAACTCTGGCCTTACATTATCTCTTGAAAAAAGCCAGAAAGCTAACTTCTGGCAGACACTCAATACCACATGTTAAAAAATTCAAAATGGAACTTCTTTATGAAATCTTAGTTGTCACAAGTTCAGTGAGCTTAGTTTAAGATTGCCACTGCTTAGGCCAATTGCAAATCTGCTCCTCACAATTCCGTTGGTTAGGGCTTATCTGAAACAAATAAAGCACAAACTTTCTTTTCTATTCAAAACCATCTTGGCTTTTGTCCTACCATAGCGTTCCCCAATGGGAGCCCTTGCAAAGGGCAGCGCTGGGAAAGGGGGTTTCAAAGTTGTTTCCAACAATAGCCTGCACTTGTCCAACAGCATCTTCCTGGTGCTCCTCACCTGCCCACAGGAAGCTGAGGTCAGTGCTCGGTTCAAGTCTATTCAAAGTGATTCTTTTGCAGAAAAGTACTTATTGTATGTAAAAGAATCATCACCCTCAGGGTATTTAGTGAAGGCCAGGGAACAGGAGCCTATATTCCCTGGACTCAATCTCTATTAGTGGTACTTTTTATGATCACTGTTTTGTTGGTGCAGGCTCCACATGGAAAGGACAGAAGAAAAGCAAAGATTTGCATTGTGTACTCGAGGCAATTTTTAAATTTGTTCTGCTAATTTAGGATGGAGGGCTGACATATAAATAAACAATAGCTCATCAGTACAAATTGATGGGGTTTTGTCTGAGTTTGATTGGCACTGATAAGACCCTTCCTGAATGCATCCCGCAAAGGTAAAAAGGGTCATGCTGTCATGTAATGCCACTTGATGTCATTTGAGCATATCCTGAGTTTGTTTGGCTTCGTTTTTCTGAAATTGCTCTTATTTTTAGACTATGAAATGAATAGTTCTCTACATTCTTTCTCTCTTTGAAAACCTCTCTCAGTAACTACAGCATCTCAGGGTCATGGCATGATGATCTCAATCAACTGAATGAGTGGCTGTGCCAGCAAAATGCACTGTTGTATCTTATACAGCCAAATGGGAGCTGCAACAGCAAACATAGCTTATCTCAGTGCACTCCTGTGCATTTCTTAGCTGGTTATAAAGCTGATCCTCTCCTGGATACCCATCTCATGTCCTCACACTGCAGCAAAGTGCACAGACTGCAGGGACACTTTGAATTCCCCTTCTCCACTATCTAGCAAACCAAACCTTCAGAAGTGTAGTTACAAGGTGCAAATAAGGAAGATGTTACATTGCTTTTTCTGTAACACCTACAATATAGAAGTTGAGTTTTAATACTTTGCCTATATGACCACTAGTTTCAATTATTTACTGTATGGACATAGATACCACCATCACTTGTGGGTGAAAGTGCAATATTATCTTTCCCCACATGTTTTAGAGACACCTTCTTCATCCCTTTTTCTTTTTGATGTTGACTAAAAGCTATGGGTGAATATCTTGTATTTGGGAGTCCTTTTCATGCCTAGTGCTGCTACAGGTGCTGCTGCAGGTGCTGCTGCATGTAAAAGGCAGGAAACTCAATCCTGACTCAAAATCAATACGGATCACCAGGCAAGGAATACAGCATTCATGAACTCTGTAAACAACAAATTTCCTGACTGTTTACAATGGAGAAGGGACAGGGAATGAAGTAATCCAATTCCTGTGACTAAAACTGACATGGTAAATTTGAAAGCTGCAAGCTTTGTGAATCGTGATAAAAAGAGAAATATTAGCATTTTAGACAACCTCCTTAAAATAGAGGCAGATTCTCATACAACAACGTGCATTTCCTAAAAGCATTTTAGTTTTCTGCTGGAGAATATTAACTCTAGAGGTTTTCTGAAGACAAATAAAGGCAGAAAAGCTGATTAAGATCCATTTATGTCCAAGCAACATGTGATGGAAGGTTCTCTCTGTCAGTTTGCCCTTTCTTTCACCCTGATATCTGTCCATCTGTATTTGTTATGAGCACTAAAGTAATTCATGCTGGTTATCACATCGTGGAAGAAGTTTCACACCTCAGCAGCTGCAAACATAACATGTTCTGAATCAGCTTTGCTTCTTGAAAATTTCAATATGCCTTTTTGACTTCTTATGTTCTGTCCACTATCTTGAAATTGCAAGTAATCTTTCTAAAGCAAGGGTTTGGTCTTCCTCTTGGTATCTTTCTATCTTCCTTTCCACAGAGTTTAATAATACTTCCAAAATACTAGAGATTTCTTTCCTCACAATGCATACAGCAAGGAATATATGAGCCTTTTGTGAAAGACGAGGAAACCAAGCTGAGAATAGTCAACATGCCCAAAGCTACATGAAAAGTTTGTGGAGGAGTATATAATTGAATCTATATTATCAGGCTTTCTGACCAGCCCTTGTGCCACATAGCACTGCTTGTTCTCAAGCATTTGGTAGCAGATCAAACTACAGTGCTTGTTATCAGACCATCAGAAAGTGCAAAACTGCTGTAAA